ATTAGTCAACCTTACATATTTTAATTAATTAATAATTTTTTAATATAATTAATAATTAAATTAAATATTTTATCAAAATCATTTAGGAATGATTACCAAAATTTGTAGGAAAAAAATTATAAATTAACCCTAAAAACATTTTTTACAAAAAAGACCACCGGTTCCTCCTTCCTCCTAACCCGATGTGTAATGGCCCATTGTTTTTCCAATTTTCTGAAAAACCTGCCGTTGATTTAACTAAAGAGGTTGACGATTTTGAGTTGTGACTGATGTGAGTCAACCCCGGCGTTAGTTGATGACGTGCACCGTTGGGAGGAGCGTGTGGTAGGCCCACTCGGCACCCCCCCAACGTGACCATGCACCTTTTTTTCGTTTCAAACAATTTTCTTCCCTTCCCAATACATCATCACATTAACTCTTAGAGGTCGTTTACGAAACGCTTACTCGGGTAAGTATTTACCAAGTCACATTATCTCATCGAATGAATATGGTAAAGACCAAGAATCTTATCTGGTAAGTGCGAGACAAAGACCAAGAGTCTTACCCGGTAAGTGAGGGCGACGACTCTTACCATGGTAAACACTTACCGGGTAAATTGTTGCATGCGATGTCGTTTTGCTGCACTAAAATCTTACCCGGTAAGTATATAATAGTGTTAAATTTTATTGGTAAGCACTTACCAGGTAGGTATTTGGTAAACAACCCCTTAATTTGTTTTTTTACTTCAAACTCGCTATGAATATCTTATTTTCATTTACCATGATCAACACATTCCGATTTTTACACAACTATATCAACTCTCTATATAATCTAATTTTTTACACATCAATAGCAAACCAAGCATCCAATTTTAAATATTCAACTACCACTTTCACCGTCGTGAGCCGTTGACCAAGATTTGACCGTCGTTCATCATGATAAGTTTTCTTACATTAAACGAATAACACATTTTCATTACACACTAATTTAGATTGATATGTTACTTTTGTAACATATTTATATTACATCTACCAAGGGGATTATTATCAAACACTTGTGACGATAAAATCAAGTATATAATTTGCAAATACAATTTTGACGGTATTTTGGTTATCGAGAAACAGACTACAAAAGTTTAGTAGTACATGTGTTCGGTCATTCGTTTGATGTACGATCAGCACATGGAGATTCGATGCTCTTACATTTGATGTAAAAAATGCAAGAACAACCACCCGATGCTCGTACATTTTCTGGTCGGGTCTGGTTTTCGGGTTTTACTCACCCCTACCAGCCACCATGGCATGGCGATCAGCACCTACGGTGCCAGTTTTGGTCGACACGACAACAACCATGATGGGACGATGGCCAGGGAACGGGCTAAGTCCTAGCCACGGTGTTGGCGACCAAAAGGGAGAGAGGTTTATGTTTCATTTTTATTTTGATCTGATTTGTTTGTTGTAATGTCGAAGTGGCTCTGATACCACCGTAGGGTTTCAAATTAATTTTATAACCTTAAAAAGACAATGGAAAATAATTTTAGGCTACTTTTTTATAAAGTTTTTCCCGGAAAGAAATCCTAACCCGGATTCATTGACATTTAAAACAAAATTTAAACAATCCATAGGGGATTTAGAAGGTACCTTTTAGATTTGGTATTGGTTCTGATAGAGCACTTAGAAATCAATGTTGAAACATAAAATGAGGGTTAGACCGTGAGGTCTAGTAAGAAAACCATTTGATGCAATTACGAGATTAATAATCACCAAATCACATTTATGAACTCATATTTTGTAAAAATAACAAATATACATCATTTTGTTATAACAAACCTCAATTATCGCATCAAAATAATCAAATCACTTAATAAACACATTCTGAGTATAAAGTTTTCACATCACTCACAACACAACGGTGCGAGAATATCAATTCATCGCATCACACTGGCGTGATAAACTCAACCTGTCGCATCATATGGGTGCGACAAGTCAACTTATCGCATAACATCATATAGATGCGATAACCACACTTCATTGCATCCATAGGATGAGATAATTTTAAGTCATCGCATCACACAGATGTGAACACTCAAAGTCATCGCATCACAAAGATGCGATAACAATTAATGTTGGGTCAAAATCCAGATTTTATAACTCATGATTTGTTCACCCTTATCCTGGTATACACATCTCCCTGATATGTCACCCTTTCAGAATCAACTCTCTACTAGCTCCTCTTTCAGGTTTTGTTTTTGCTTCGCACAAACAACACACACACACACATAAAAGCTTAATTGCCTTCTCTTCTTCAAAATACCATCCCAATGAGATAATGAAATTATCTCATATAATATGTTTTAAAAGAAATAAGGCGGTGACAGTTTTAACAAATTTTAAGCACATAAACAATTTTAACCCCTCAACTTATTAACACTTATCAAAAACAACCCCAACTTTTTAACACCAAATAATCAGTTATCACATTAATTGATAATCTCGTACAAGTTGTTTCTCAATTCATCACAATTCTTGGTTTTCCATGTAACAGTCAAATTAGTTATTTGTCGACATGAACTGTCTACCATTATATTTTTGATTATTTTCGCATCGTAAAATATACGACATCTGGATTAAAACATTAAATGATAAAATGGGCCAAAAATATTTCTTCAATAACTTGTTTGTAATAAGAAATGCATACACAAGACAACTAGCATCAACCTCTATCACCCATCTTCAAACATTGTTTAATGATTGTCGAATACACATACACCACCACCACCACCCCTCATGGACGGACCCAGGCTTGTGGTATAGGTGGCACGTGCCACCATATTATTTATCCGTCGAAGGGTAAAAAAATTAGGTTTCGTGAACGATGTACCGTATTAATTTGTTGTGTGTTACCGTATGTATTTTGAAACTACAATGAGAACAAGTTTTATTTGGTAAAATTGGTTTGCAAGGTTTTTATTCCACCCACACCTAAGTTCGAATCTTGTTAGTGTCATTTTCTTACAGGGTCATCCCTTAGCATGTTAAATGTTAGAATTTGAACAGGGTCCCCCAAAATTTTGGGGCCCAAATTTACATGTGTTTAGGTCTTTTATCAACTTGTGTAAAACTATAGCTGAAATTATTTAGGTTCACACATTAATTGTTTGGTTTTAGGTTCAAATCATTAATGGTTTAGGTTTAGTTTCAGATTGTTAGTCGTTTTAGGTTTAGTCCATTTTTGTTCTTAACATATATTTTCTTTTATCTCATTTATGCAATGTAACCAAAAGTTTTGGATGTAGCAGGGCCTCCAAAAAGATTGAAACGTCCCTGTTTTCTTAGTCAAATGTTGAAAAAAAATTCCGTATATTTGTATTTTATAGTCAAACGGTGCCATCGTTTAAAAAATTTCCCAATATTTTTTTCCTTATGGTCAAATGGTGTCACTGTTTGAAAAACATTTTGGGTCCGTCCTTACCACCACCACATAAATCTTCTAATATATTTAGAAGTCTAAATGTATCTTTATATATTGTTAAATATCGAGTTACTAACAAATATGACAAAAAAATTATTTTGAATTATAAATAATATTATTAAAGTTGAACATATATGTAAAATATAAGTAATAAATATAACAATTATTTTACATCTAATTTGTTATAATAAACATTTTAATATTACTCTAAATATCATAATATAATGTTTTAAAAACAATATAAAAATTGTAAAACAACAATTTTCGTTTTATTTATTTTTCGGACCTTGTCTTGTTTCTCGTTTAATCATCATGAATTCTTTTACTCGATAAATATAAAAGTACATCAATTACGCATTAATATATATCATATACGCTAGCATTATAAAAAACTAGAAGGGTACTCGCACAATGCAGCGAGATACATCTTCATTTTAATATTTTGTTTTATTTTTTGTCTATATTGATATAATAATGTTTATGTGGTTTTGAGAAATATAATGTCTTTACTTTTGAGTAAAAATAAATTTAAAAAAATATATATCGATATTAATATAAAATTAACTATTCAAAAGTTCTTTTTTTTACAAACTCTTTAGTTTAATTTTTTATTATAATTTAATTTAGGTCAAATAGTAAAATAATTTATTTTTGGCTTAACAATAAATTTTTTATATGGATAATAATTCTTTTAGAACTTAATGATTATTTTAATTATATTTTAGATTTTTTATACTTAAAGTGAGATGTTTATCCTATATATGAATATATTTATCTGCAGTTATTTATATGAATTAAAAAGTTGAGCTTTAATAAGTTTTATTTACGCATAATTTACTTGTAACCTTAAATTTTAAGTAATATGCATTAATACACAGTACTTCATACATAAAAAATGATTTTTAAGAGTTTTTGTCAAATATTTTATAATATAGTATAGATACTACAAAGTATTATATATACTTGAAAACTTGTGCATCATGTTTTATTTCATTTGTTTTTTTTTTCTTCGTAGGATTTAAAATAGTGGTTAACATATATTTGTTTCACAATGTGTTTGTTTTACATATGTTCAGTTTACAAGAGAACATTTTTGAGGTGTTTGTAAAACAAAATATACACATAAAAAGTTTCACATTGTGAACCGAATACATACGAAACAAACACATTACGAAATAAATATATGTTAACCAATACATTAAATACTAAGATGGAAAAATCATGTGAAATAGAAACTTAATATAGTTCTCACGGATTTCAGGAATTTCAGAGTTATGAAATGATTAAACTCCTATTTTTTCATATTACTATTTAACTTTATGTTATACATACATATAGATGTATATTATTTTGTAACGTGTAACGGATAACGGAAAATCGTTTATTCATATTCTACCCACTAAAATTTTGGATAAAACGATAAATGGATAATTTTTTCTTTACACACACCTTTATCCATTGTGAGTCCCAACTAAATGCACTCCTGTATATTATTAATTGCATCTCTACCTACTAATGTCTCCAATGACGATGCTATTTTTGAAATTTGGTCCAACAGTTATATTAAACTCTCCTCTAAAATAGAAAAAAATAGAAGAGACAATGGAGAAATCTCCAAATTTGGGAAATGAGATAGCAAATTGTGAAAAATAGTTAAATCTGATATACTTAAGATTTAAGAAGTATGGATAAGCTACCAAATGATTGATGATGAAAAATAAATTATGAGTAGAAAAAAACATATTCAATGTTAGAATAATATTTTGATATACCAAAGTATTAACCCGACCAACCTGTATGGTTTGGGTTGAGTTGGGTTGGGTTCCACTTTGGGTTGGGTTGAGAAACCTGACCAACTCAACTAAGGAGCACCTCTACATATATCAACACAAAAACTTACTTTTACATTCTTAATATATGATTTGACTCGAGTCTGATATAGAAATTATTATACACACACACACACACACACATATATATATATATATATATATATATACTACCTTATAAACCAGATTTATCAAAAGTCTTAAAAACAATTCATAATGTATTAAATACTACTACTTTATGCATTCAATCTTAAAATCTTTTGATCTACAATTAAAATAACATATAGTACAAGTTACCAATGCACATTATTGTCTTTTTTTTTCATGTTCCCAAGATACTTTTGACACCTTTCACTTTATACTTTCACCCTCTCATACATCTATGTCTTCTCCTCATCCTCCAAAGTAAGATTCAAACTGATATTCACCATGAGTTATTAAAAGTTCTCTCATTCATCTCTCATTCAGTTGCTTTAGAACCCTCGGTCTCGGTCTCGATCTCTTGATTCTTTGCTCTTGGTGTAAGTCGAACACATTTGTGAAATCGTTTAAATATGTTGGATTCTAAATATATTGGGTTTTAAACTGTTATACAATTTTTTTCATCGATAGACTATAATTGGAACCATAGTTTGTATTTATTCAAATTGTATTAATATGTAAAGACCAAGTGTAACTTATATCATCGTTAAATCTTCTCAAATAAAACCAGTGAAACTTCAAAATCATTAAAATTTACGACTCTCATCACATTGCACCGGTACACAACTAGTATATATAAATAAATAGGTACTAAAAAGACACACGTGGAAGAGATTCTGAGAAAAACATGTCATGATTGTACAAACATCATCAGTTTCTTGAACGTGTATAATAAGAATAAGAATAATAATGTACAAATGAGTTCAAAGCCACCTCACATCATAAATAACCTTATAAAAAAAGTACAACCCCAAAATAATATGCAAAAAAAAACCCCTACTTTCTCAACTTTTTTGTATTTTTGTTCCAAATATACATATAATTATGTGTTTATCAACTCATTACCTTAATTATTTGCACCATTCTTTGTTGTCGATTCATTGCTGGAGTCAAGAAGGTGTTCCAATGATCTGTTTTTTCTGGTTCGAACCTTCCCCGCCTCTTTCAGCAACTCGGCTAACCGCCTCTTTTCGTCATCCACGTCCGGGTGCGCAGTCCCCAGCTTTTCTTCCCTCATCACGACAATATGTTCCAAGATTGCAATCGCATCGTCCAATCTGGTTTAAAAGGGTAATTTGTTGGTTTTAAGATGTTGATTTGCATATGTCGTAACACGGACCATCAAACATATACATAAGTATGAACTTCCGTTTAGAGAGAGATTCAAAGGGTTTACATGTGGTTTCAAAGCAGGTCTAGTACCACCTAGTGACTCAACAAGCACTTTCACATCCATTTGAGGGACGTGTTGCAGACTTGAAGTCTCATATCAGCTAGACATGGACAATCAAACTTGTACATATTCGGAAACCTCCCCTTAATACTCTCTCTATAAAGGTTCTTCCAGAGAGATTCAAAGGGTTCAACGTACCCTAATTGGGTATCTAAGTTGGGGTCTAACACTAGGGACTCAACACAATGTTTCACCTCCGTTTGAGGGGGCGTGTTGAATCCCATACCAGCTAGACTCAGACCATCAGACCTGCATATGTAGGAACCTTCCCTTATGCTCTCTATAAGGCTACTTTTAGAGACTCAAAAGGTTCCACGTATCCTAATATGGTATCACGGCCAGGGCCTAGCGTCACCTAATGACTTAACACACTCTTTCACCTCCGTTTCAGGGGGCGAATTGGAGTCATATCGACTAAACACAAACTATAAAACCTATATATATATATATATATGTAGGCTTGAGTTCCAATGAGAAGGAGAGTTAAAGTGAGCAGCGTAAGAAAGGATATCCACCCTTGGATGCACATTAAGATGAGATGCATCAAATCAATCTCCATATCAAGCACGATTCATGGGTGCATTTGAGAATTAAAGTGATCAAGGGTCCGGATCCCCTTCCTACGTTTCTCATCTTAACTTTTTTCTCACACGATCCTTCGTCTGTATATGTATATGTATATATATACGGGGTTGGGTTCCGGTGAGAAAGTTAAAGTGAGAAGTGTAAGAAGGGATCTCCACCCTTGGTTACACATTAGGATGAGATACACCGAGATGAGAGACATCAAGATGCCTCGGATCAATACCCATATCAAGTGATTCATGGGTGAGTTTGAGATTACAGGTGATCAAGGGTCCGGATCCCTTCTCACGCTAATCACCTTTAACTCCCCTCCTCACACGATCCTTCGGCTATAAATATATATATAGGAACCTCTCATCTCTATAATAGCTTTACCTGCCAACAGCGTCATAAGTGGCAGCAAGATTGCTGTAAACGGCCAGTGTATCGGGGTGGTACGAGCCACATTCATGCTCCAAGACGTTTCTCGCTTCTTCAAAAAGGTCTAGAGCTTCGTTTATAGCGTATTGTTGCACACAAGTGAGTCCCATTTGGTTAAGTGCGATACCGAAAAAAGCGGATTTCTTCTCACCGCTAGCACGGAGCTTTGCTGTGGCGTTCTCGAAAGAAGCATACGATTCGGAGTATTTTCCCAACACGTAATACATGACTCCCATCTGGGCTTCAATGCCTGCGATCGTGTTTTGCTGGCCAGGAGCATCGTTGTATATCTTCAACGCCTTTTGTAACAACTTGAGTGCGTGATCAAGCTCGTTCATCGATTCATAAATAGCGGAAACATCCGTGAAACCAGACGCGATTTCCTCTTGAGGGATCCCGGGGACGGGCTTTTCGTATATACGAAGAGCGTTTTCACAATAAGATTTCGATTCTCTTAATTTCCCAGTCTTGTTATATAAATCCGCCAAACGAACGTAAACCGAAGCAACCGCCGGATAATTCTCCCCTTTCGACGATTTAAGAGCATTGAGCGCCTTTTGGTAAGCATGAACAGCCTCGTCGAATCTCGATAGTGATAAATACGCATCTCCAATGCTTAAATCCACAGAAGAAACCTCGTGTTCTTGCCCATTTGCCACCATCGCCATACTAGCCAAAACCAGATGCTCGAGAGCAGCCTCGTGATCGCCTTTTGTTTCACATATAAGTCCCATAAGCTTTCTATCGGCTGCTTCTTCTAACGAAGCTGGTAAACCATTTTCTCGATGGATTTCAAGCGCCATCTGACAAAGCTTCTCGGCCTCATCGAATTGCAAAGCCTGAACATGAGCTTCAGCAAGATATCTACAAGTCTCACCAACTCTTGGGTCAGTTTCACCCAAACTTTTCCGCTGTACCTCCAAGCCCGACGTGTAACACTGCAACGAATTTTCGAGTTGACCCAACATGGCATAAGTATCACCCAACTGCATATAACCTGCGAATTTAGCGAGTGCATGATCTTGACCTTCCTCAATCACCGAAACGGTAATGGAGTTCTCAAGGATCGGAATAGCTTCATTATACTGGCCTAAGTTACAGTAAATGGCTGCGGTTACGTGCAAACACATAACGACATCTAAACTGGGCTTACCATTAGTGATTTTCTCAAACGATTTTGTTGCTCGAAGAGCTAAATCGAGTGCTTTTCGAGAGTTATCACCAGCAGCCATCAAATCCCGAGCTTGTTTAAGCAAATATGGACCAAGATCCAAGTTTTTATCACCAACAGCAGGTTTTTTGGCATTTTTATCGTTTTGCTTCTCGATTAGAGGCTTCTTTGGATGGGTTTTGCTCTTACAATTTGATCCAGAATTCACTTCTGAATCCAACTTCAATTCAGAAGCTTTCTTGGATTTCTTTGATGAGACAGATTTCGAGCTTTCTTCCTTCTCTTCGACCTTAGAAATGTCTTCATCTTGCTTGATGATCTCCACTTCTTTCGACTCTCCTCCCACCAGGTGTCTTAACTCCGAATCAATCCGGGATTCTTCCCCATCTGATCCGTAGCTAAGCCGAGATGGAGATTGATCAGAACTCTGCATCTCACACACATTATCGTAAAGTTGTTCGATAGAAGGTTCGACCACTAAACTCGAACTGTTTCCAGTACCCACATTATCAACAGACTCAGCACCATCAGGTGGGTTGCTCAAATCCAAATTATCCTTAGTTTTCGACAAACTCCCATTCTCAGGCATTTCATCGATCACCTTATCTTCATGGATTTCATCCAAAACCAACCCAGGCATCTCTCACTACGCCACCGAAATCAATGCTGGTTTTGAATAAATTCTGTCAAGAAAAATACCCAAATAGCAAAACAAAACATTAACCATCCACAGTTGTTCCAGATATAGGTTTGACAAATCAAACGTTAACAAATCACCAACAGTAGAAAAGGGAAAATTTGAAGGAAAGGGCAAATAGAGTTAAAACGAACAATAATAGCATAAAAAGTTATGGATAACAGATCATAAAGAGACGCACCCATTGTTTTAAAAATCTAAGTACACATTAAAAAGCTCCAAAGGGGGAACATTAGACCCAGTAAAGTTGGATCTTTTCAAAAGTAAATTAACAGCTCATTCAAGAGAAAAAGAAGCTTCAAGTTAATTAAAAATACGAACACACTGTTCTATAGACCACATAAAACAGATCTTATGGAATCATATACCCTACAGATTCTTCCATTTTCCACTGAAACCCATCGGAAAACAAGAAAACCAGATGAAACAGAACCCAAAAATTGGAACTTTATGCACAGTTGACCTCTTTTAACTGAAGAAAATTCATCAAAAATCAAAGAAAAATTGGGGAAAGGTCGTACCTTAGTGAGAACCCATGAAGGAACTTTGTGCAAATTTAAGCTTTTTGCTGGATATTATACAGAAAAAGATAAAGATACGTTGTATCTTTTGCCAAGTGGAGCTGATGAGACAGGTGATAAAGAGAAGACAAAAGGGGGATTGTGATTTGTGAATTGTGAATTGTGAATTGTGAATTGTGAATGAGAGCTTGGTAACAAAATGTAGAAAGATTTCGTTTTTTCTTTTTCTTTAGGGGAAAACGATGGTTTCTTGGGGGGGGGGGGGTTCTCAGAAGGCTTTTTTTCTTCTGGACTTGTTTTTTAGCTGTTTGTTTGCATTTGCTAAATATAGAGGAATTTGGCGATGTGTGAAATGACGGATATGGCCCTGGTGGGTAGTGGGTTCGTGTTGGGTAAAATGTTAAAAAAAGAATTAGACACAGGGTCACAGTCGATTGTATAAGATTACTTTGGAACGGTGCAATCACTTGGTGGTGGACGTTCCTTCTTTCACACAAGAAAATGGAATCCTAAGCAATCTTAAGATTTTTTATTTATTTTTAAAGAAAAGAATCAAGAAACCGATATTTAGTGTTGGAAAGTGGCATGACGCATTGCTATGGAAGTCAAGTCTTAGAGTGGAGCCACAAGGATTAATGTGTCGGTGAACCCAAACTTTGACGCTATAACAAGGTAATAACGAGTTATGTTGATAATGTAATCATATCAAATTAATGATAGGACAATCTAAAAAAACATGGCGGATCTCTATAAGACACAAAATAAACCCAATCAAGCCAAATTATATGATTAACAATTTCATCGTACCAAATATTGAAGACGATCTAAAATATTTTTGATTGAACGTTAAAGATTGAGTCTATAAACCAGAAGGGTGGTGCTTGATTGGTTTGAGTTTGGCTACAAAGGTCAAAAGTACCTGGAGGTCTCAGGTTTAAATCCAATGAGGAATAGAAATCCCCTTGTGGCAACGGAGGTTCAAATGCGACTATTTGCAAAGCAAGTGGTCGTCATGGGATTAGTCGGCTTGCATAGCGGATTGGATATCCAGGTTAATCAAAAAAAAAAGATTGAGTGTATATATTGTTTTAGTTTCTTGTAAGCGTAACCTAGTCGATATCTATGTACATTTTTGGTAAATTATGTAATAAAATCGAAGGACTAACTCATAAAACTAAATGCCAAATTTGGTTTAGAATATCACATCTTCAACAAATACAATCAAATATAGTTTAAACTTACAAATCAGTATTTCTTTTATTTTTTTATAAAAAAAATTGATAAATTTAACGATCGAGTTGGTAATATATCTGAATCATCAAAAAAGAATTATTTGCAAGCCATATATATAATAGATCAATTTGCAATACAAAATTTGTCACAAACATCAACCTTAAATATGGTGGTTGTTATCCAGTGAAACATTTATTGGTACGTAAATTGACGCAATAACTAGTTACGTTTTTATGGTCTATAAATACACATAACTTCTTTTAATTTCCTTATTTAACAACATCTGATCCTTGGATTTTTTGAAATTTATACTTTTGGTAATTTTGAATTAAAATATTAATGCAAGGACATTTTAGGTATTTTCTCTCTCCTCTCCTCTCTTCCCTCTCTGTCCCTCGTCTTCCGGTGATACCACTGTGATACCTAAAAATATTAATTATGTTAAACAAAAGACATTGTACGATACCCAAGCACATATAAGATGCATTGTGATACCACTGTGTTACATCTCCGATCGATTACACAAACGACCTTAGTGTGATACACAAACGACCTTAGTGTGATACACAAACACATATAAAATGCATTGTGATACCACTGTGGTATCACCGGAGGACGGGGGACAGAGAAAGAAAAGAGAAAGTACCTAAAATGTCCTTGCATTAAAATTTTAATTCAAAATTACCAAAATTATAAATTTATCTATTAATTTGTGGTTGAGAATGGACCTCACGGTTAGCATAAACTAATTAATTCTCATTTGATTATATACGTACGTATACATATATATATATATATATATATATATGTATATATGTATATATGTATATATATATATATGTGTATATATATGTATGTACCATAAACTACTAGTTGTGTACCCGTGCAATGCGGCGGGAGCCATGAATTTTAACGATTTTGAAGTTCCACTGGTTTTATAAGATAAGGTTTAACGATGATATACACTTGGTCTTTGCATATTAATACAATTTGAATAAATAAGAGTTATGGTTCCAATTACAAAACTATCGATAAAAAAATTGTATGACAGTTTAAAATCCAATATATTTAAAATCCAACATATTTAAACGACTCCGCAAATGTATTCGATTTACACCAAGAGCAAAGAATCAAGAAACTTGAGTTTTAAGGTAAACACTCAAAACCAATAAAGAAAACTACAAATTTGACAGATCATAATAAGTCATGAAAAGACAAAAAAAGATGAGTTTTAGAATGAAATTTCAACTGATTACCCTCTTTTTTGTCTAGAAACTCAGATTATGGTTGAACTAATACATGTATATATATATATATATATATATTTCAAAAAAACCCAAGAACATATTAATTCAAAACATATTATACAGTGCAATTTGGACAGTCTAACCCCAAAATATATAGTATATATATAAATAAATAACTATAAAAGTATAAATCATAAATATTAAAAATATTTTTTCATAGTATATATAATATATAATAATATAATTAAGTCAAAAACTATCCAATATTTGACTCATTTCGAATGTATTAACGAGACGATTATAATGGTGTAACTTGTTAAAATAAAAATGTATTTTTTAAACATGTTTTAATTGATATACGATTATGTATGTTAATTTGATAAATGTTTAAAATGAAACATTTAAAAGTAAATGATGTAAAGTAAATTAATTAATTAATTATAGGGGTATAAAGTGTAAATTTAAAATTATAATTTTAAAAAAATTGGTTGTGAGAGGGTGAGTATATGTGATGAGAGGAGCGGGTAAAAAAGTGAGTATAAATAGTATTTTAATCATTTAGTATTTTAATACTTTAAGACTTTTGCTAAATTTACTTAATAAAATAGTATAGGATATATATACACTAAAAAGGTTGGTATGAATGGAATAAATATGACATATTTAAAGAGTTGTTGGATGTATCTTAAAAGAAATTGTTGAGCATATGAATTTATTATTGAATTTTTTTGTTTTTGATGAAATATAAAAATTACAAAAGTATAAGTTAATTTTGAGAAATTTCATAAATGTTAATGAGGTGGCGTAGGCTGGCATAGTATTAATATTAATATTAGTATTAGTAGGTACACAAACACCATTTTATTATTTATTTCTTCTTTCAATCATTTTTCAATTATTATTATAAGTATTAAAAATTAGATTTATATTTTTAAAAGAATATGATTTAAATACAACAACATTTATTAAATGGAAAACCAAGTAATGACAAGTATCCATTTTCTTTTTCATGTTTTATATTAAACATGTTATCTGTGTATTTGTATTACAACAACACTGATTTTCGACATCGTGCGATGATCAAATTTTATGTTGATGAAAAAATTTTAAAAAAAAAATATTGACTATTTTTATGTGTAAAAGTGATTCATCAGCTTCATTTTCTAAATCGATTGTCTTTGATACATTTTTTTACAGGTATCAATCTAAAGATTGAAGCAAAACAATGTTGAAACTGTTAAGTTGTATGAAACAAAAAAGTAAATTCACAAAATGAAATCAATCTAGTTTTGGACATGATTCAAAATCATTGAAGGTCAAAAAAACAAACTCCGAAGAATGTTTAACCAATTTACATTATCGTAGAACTTTGATTTTTCAAATGAAACACTAAAAACATATATTGGTAATCAAGAAGTGAATGTAAAAATTAAAATCTACTGTTCGTTCGTGAGTAACAATGTAATATCAAAATAAA